GTCACGTGTCTGCCGTCCACTCGTCCCGTCAATTACCTGACGACAATTCCGAAAAAAAATTCTTTAAATAAAAACGCTTTGTAAAAAAGTGCGACAAGCAATAGGAGTAATCGCATATAGTTCTTTTCGAGTAATCGAATGCAGTTCTGTTAAAGTAGTCGAATGTAGATCTTTTAAAGTAATGGAAAATAGTAGGCTACTTTAAAAGTAATTGATTATTGTACTGTTAAAATTATCTAACGCATGTCTCAACGTTGTCGCGTTTCTCATTTAAAAACAGTTTTGACGCCATTGCTTAATTATCCACTTTTTAATTTAAGGGTTAACGTTTCTCTACCAAATGTCACGTTACTCTCTCTTTCTCACAGCTCTTTCTCCCGTCGCTCTCCCACCTATCTCTCCCACCTCTCTCTCCGTTCCCTCTCCCATCTTTCTCATCTCTCCCACCTCTCACTACAACCTCTCTATCCCATCTCTCTCCCATCTCTCTCTCCCATCTCTCTCTCCGTTACCTCTCCCATCTTTCTCAGCTCTCTCCCATCTCTCTCATCTCTCTCCCATCTTTCTCATCTCTCTCCCACCTCTCTCTCCCATCTCTCTCCGTTCCCTCTCCCATCTTTCTCATCTCTCTCAGCCACCTCTCTCTCCCATCTCTCTCCGTTCCCTCTCCCATCTTTCTCATCTCTCTCAGCCACCTCTCTCTCCCATCTCTCTCCCACCTCTCTCTCTCATCTCTCTCATCTCTCTCTCACCTCTCTCTCTCCCATCTCTCTCCCACCTCTCTCTTCCATCTCTCTCTCCGTTCCCTCTCCCATCTTTCTCATCTCTCTTTCTCTCCCACCTCTCTCTCTCATCTCTCTCCCACCTCTCTCTCTCATCTCTCCCATCTCTCTCTCCCCCATCTCTCTCCCATCTCTCTCCCACCTCTCTCTTCCATCTCTCTCATATCTCTTCACCTTTCTCTCCCACCTCTCTCCGTTCCCTCTCCCATCTCTCTCATCTCTCTCCCACCTCTCTCTCTCATCTCTCTCATCTCTCTCTCACCTCTCTCTCTCCCATCTCTCTCCCACCTCTCTCTCCCACCTCTCTCTCCGTTCCCTCTCCCATCTTTCTCATCTCTCTTTCTCTCCCACCTCTCTCTCTCATCTCTCTCCCACCTCTCTCTCTCATCTCTCCCATCTCTCTCTCCCCCATCTCTCTCCCATCTCTCTCCCACCTCTCTCTTCCATCTCTCTCATATCTCTTCACCTTTCTCTCCCACCTCTCTCTCCGTTCCCTCTCCCATCTGTCTCATCTCTCTCCCACCTCTCTCTCCCACCTCTCTCATCTCTCTCCCACGTCTCTCTCCCACCTCTCTCTTCCATCTCTCTCATCTCTCTCCCACCTCTCTCTCCTACCTCTCTCTCCGTTCCCTCTCCCATCTTTCTCATCTCTCTTTCTCTCCCACCTCTCTCTCTCTCATATCTCTTCACCTTTCTCTCCCACCTCTCTCTTCCATCTCTCTCATCTCTCTCTCACCTCTCTCTCTCCCATCTCTCTCCCATCTCTCTCTCCCACCTCTCTCTTCCATCTCTCTCATCTCTCTCCCACCTCTCTCTCCCACCTCTCTCTCCGTTCCCTCTCCCATCTTTCTCATCTCTCTTTCTCTCCCACCTCTCTCATATCTCTTCACCTTTCTCTCCCATCGTTCTCTTCCATCTCTCTCATCTCTCTCCCACCTCTCTCTCCCACCTCTCTCTCCGTTCCCTCTCCCATCTTTCTCATCTCTCTTTCTCTCCCACCTCTCTCTCTCATATCTCTTCACCTTTCTCTCCCACCTCTCTCTTCCATCTCTCTCATCTCTCTCCCACCTCTCTCTCCGTTCCCTCTCCCATCTTTCTCATCTCTCTCTCATCTCTCTCTCACCTCTCTCTCTCCCATCTCTCTCCCACCTCTCTCTCCCACCTCTCTCTTCCATCTCTCTCACCTCTCTCTCTCCCATCTCTCTCCCATCTCTCTCTCCCACCTCTCTCTTCCATCTCTCTCATCTCTCTCCCACCTCTCTCTCCCACCTCTCTCTCCGTTCCCTCTCCCATCTTTCTCATCTCTCTTTCTCTCCCACCTCTCTCTCTCATATCTCTTCACCTTTCTCTCCCATCGTTCTCTTCCATCTCTCTCATCTCTCTCCCACCTCTCTCTCCCACCTCTCTCTCCGTTCCCTCTCCCATCTTTCTCATCTCTCTTTCTCTCCCACCTCTCTCTCTCATATCTCTTCACCTTTCTCTCCCACCTCTCTCTCCCATCTTTCTCATCTCTCTCCCACCTCTCTCTCCGTTCCCTCTCCCATCTTTCTCATCTCTCTCTCATCTCTCTCTCACCTCTCTCTCTCCCATCTCTCTCCCACCTCTCTCTCCCACCTCTCTCTTCCATCTCTCTCACCTCTCTCTCTCCCATCTCTCTCCCATCTCTCTCTCCCACCTCTCTCTTCCATCTCTCTCATCTCTCTCCCACCTCTCTCTCCCACCTCTCTCTCCGTTCCCTCTCCCATCTTTCTCATCTCTCTTTCTCTCCCACCTCTCTCTCTCATATCTCTTCACCTTTCTCTCCCATCGTTCTCTTCCATCTCTCTCATCTCTCTCCCACCTCTCTCTCCCACCTCTCTCTCCGTTCCCTCTCCCATCTTTCTCATCTCTCTTTCTCTCCCACCTCTCTCTCTCATATCTCTTCACCTTTCTCTCCCACCTCTCTCTCCCATCTTTCTCATCTCTCTTTCTCTCCCACCTCTCTCTCTCATATCTCTTCACCTTTCTCTCCCACCTCTCTCTCCGTTCCCTCTCCCATCTTTCTCATCTCTCTCTCCCATCTCTCTCCCACCTCTCTCTTCCATCTCTCTCATCTCTCTTTCTCTCCCACCTCTCTCTCCCACCTCTCTCTCCGTTCCCTCTCCCATCTTTCTCATCTCTCTCTCACCTCTCTCTCTCATCTCTCTCCCACCTCTCTATCCCACCTCTCTCTCCGTTCCCTCTCCCATCTTTCTCATCTTTCTTTCTCTCCCACCTCTCTCTCTCTCATCTCTCTTCACCTTTCTCTCCCATCTCTCTCCCATCTCTCTCATCTCTCTCTCCCACCTCTCTCTCCCATCTCTCTCTCCCATCTCTCTCTCCCACCTCTCTCTCCCATCTCTCTCATCTCTCTCTCCCATCTCTCTCCCATCTCTCTCTCCCACCTCTCTCTCCCATCTCTCTCATCTCTCTCTCTCCCATCTCTCTCATCTCTCTTCACCTTTCTCTCCCATCTCTCTCCCATCTCTCTCATCTCTCTCTCCCACCTCTCTCTCCCATCTCTCTCATCTCTCTCTCCCATCTCTCTCCCTCCCAGTCCAGCTCCCTCATCATCTCTTAACAATTTTGTCACACCCAACTTCAAAGGCAAATACAAACCACATCACTGGTGATTTTACAATTTTATTGATGTCACAGATACAGCAGCTACACTACCAAAACAACGACTTTTACTTTCAATCTCCCGCATTTCCTCCATTCTTTTGCGCATGCGCACGCCCACAATATTTTTTAGATTTATATTCCTACATAGCCTTTTTACACCCCCACTCGAATAATACATTCACCCCACACAAATACTCCCACATTTGACTGTTACAAATTCATCAATTAAAACGTGTATGCGATGAATTTAGCTAACAATTTATCAACTAAAGTTTAATGAGAACTCGGCCATGACGTGGCTAAAATTAATGCTAGAATTGATTTCTCAGTCAGCTGAGTGAGGGGGGCGGGGGGAGGGGGGGGGGGTAAACAGGGGGGGGGGGTTGTATGGCAGACCTTACACGCTGGTGAAAGAGAAAGATAGAAAGGTTGACCCCCATTTTTTCTTATGGCGCTGGTGAAATCATGGCAGATAAAAGATGGGAGAACGACCTTGACACGTGCGCTCCTCACTTCCGGTCAAAAAATATTCTGCTCTTAATGGCGGGAAAATGGGCGGTATTATGACAGGGGAAGTTGATCCAATTAATGAGGCTGACATAATCACATCAGACGTCAACAAAAATGACGTCATTAACGGTAGTATGGGCATTAAAAATTGTGTCATTAACGATAGAACAAAAATGGTGTCTTCAAAGATAATAGCATAAAAGGGGTGTCTTTAAGGATAATAGCACACAAAAAATGTGTCTTTTAGGATAATAATAGCACAAAACGTGAGACTTAAAGGATAAGAGCACCAAAACTGTTTCATTAACTATAATATCAGAAAAATGCGTCTTTGAAGATAATTGCACAAAAATTGCGTCTTTAAGGATAATACCAGAACAAGTATCGTGTCATCAAGCATGATGTCAGTAATTAATGTACCAATGACATTGGGTCTTCTGTGACGTAATGTCTTCACAGACCAGGACAAAGTCTGAAGTCTGGTGCAAGCAGACGCAGAAGTGTCACTTTGCTTAAACTAGGTCTCGTTAGTGACGAATGAAACTGTGACCTGTATAATAAGCAAGCAGCTAGTAGCCAACTGCTAGGTTGTGGAAAAATTGAATGCCACAAGCACCTACTGACCAACCCCTCCTACAAAAAGAACTCACTTGTTGGGATCGGGCATTTTCTTTCTCCAAACAATGCCTCGCTGTGTGGTCTGTAAGCCCTCGGTGTCCCCCCGGTATTCATTCCTAATCATTTATACGTGCCAAGTTTTCCCATATCTAACTCCGTGCTCAATACACAGCAGTGTAAATGTCAATAGCGGCCCTCACTTAAACATCCATATATATATATATATATATATATATATATATATATATATATATATATATATATATATATATATGTATATGTATATATATATGTATATATATATATATATATATATATATATATATATATATATATATATATATATATATATATATATATATATATATATATATATATATGTATATGTATATATATATGTATATATATATATATATTGTATATAAATTGAAAAAGCGAAACACTTACCAAAATAACATGTTGTCATCCCAAGAAATATAATCCACAATGCATGATTGAGCCGACAGCTTGTACTAACCATTGCACATTGAAGCTGCTGTGAATGGTAGGCTCACACGTGTGGCGCAGTCCACTGCACTTTCACGCTCATCAGACGTCTGACGTAGGATCGAGACATTTTGGACTGCTGGCTCATTACTTGTCTCATAAGACTTTGGTCAAGCTTCACATTTTTTTTGGATGACAGACGCCGCACGCCCCCTCACAGATTATCGTGACAGACGATCTGGTATACTCTGCCGTAGCCCTATGACAGATGATCTAGCTGTAGCCCTATGACAGATGATCTTCTAGCTGTAGCCCTATGCCAGATGATCTAGCTGTAGCCCTATGACAGATGATCTGTTAGCTGTAGCCCTATGACAGATGATCTGCTTGCTGTAGCCCTATGACAGATGATCTAGCTGTAGCCCTATGACAGATGATCTGCTTGCTGTAGCCCTATGCCAGATGATCTTCTAGCTGTAGCCCTATGCCAGATGATCTGCTTGCTGTAGCCCTATGACAGATGATCTGTTAGCTGTAGCCCTATGACAGATGATCTAGCTGTAGCCCTATGCCAGATGATCTGTTAGCTGTAGCCCTATGCCAGATGATCTGCTTGCTGTAGCCCTATGACAGATGATCTAGCTGTAGCCCTATGACAGATGATCTGCTTGCTGTAGCCCTATGACAGATGATCTGCTTGCTGTAGCCCTATGCCAGATGATCTGCTTGCTGTAGCCCTATGACAGATGATCTGCTTGCTGTAGCCCTATGACAGATGATCTGCTTGCTGTAGCCCTATGACAGATGATCTGCTTGCTGTAGCCCTATGACAGATGATCTGCTTGCTGTAGCCCTATGACAGATGATCTGCTTGCTGTAGCCCTATGACAGATGATCTGCTTGCTGTAGCCCTATGACAGATGATCTGCTTGCTGTAGCCCTATGCCAGATGATCTGCTTGCTGTAGCCCTATGCCAGATGAAGTGCTTGCTGTAGCCCTATGGGAGAGCGAGCTGGACTACCTGACGGAGCAGAAGATGAATACGCCGCGCCCCCGCCGATAGGTACAATTAATATTGATTGAAGCACGCATGCGCGGTTCGCCTCGGCATGGTGTATTGTTCGAGTCAGTCGCCCCACGTGTTCATCTACATCCTGTTCGTCCTCTGCTCAGCCTATGATACAAATAAATTAAAAACTTGAATCACCAGTAGAACACCGAGCATTTTGCAATCGAAATTAGCGCCTGTATGGTAGCTTGAGCTTGGCACAAATTTCCGTAACTTAGGCAGTGTCTCTTTCAGGCTTTTTCCCCCCGTGGGAGGGTGGGCGGACACAAGTTAAAGTATAGATTTTCTATATAAATTCTATTTAACGAGCCGGCCCGCGGCATAACATACGCCGCTATTTAGTTGTTGTTTTTTCTACTTTTCAGTAATTCATAATAGCTGAATTCGACAGTACCAACGCTGAGACTGAAAATATTTCTTTAAAACACTAAACCCCCCCCCCCCCCACGTGAAAGCAGCCTCCTCTTAGTTACCTCCTCTAAGTTTAAAATCGTTTCAAACTAAATTATCTGCCCCTAATAGCCGTCACCAAACCCGTCTCTATGATTGTAAAATGTAAACAGCGTGAACCACAGCTCACCAAACCATGTGAGGGGGTGGGGGGTGGTAGCGATAGAGAGGAAGAGAGGGGACTGTAAGGCGAGGTTGCAGCTTGTTTTCTAACGGATCCCAGAAGAGAATTATATATATAGATTGGGGGCGGGGGCTGTACTGTAGATGTTCTTCGCAGTGTTTCTTCCAGACTTTTTTCTCCGGGGGGGGGGGGGGGGGGGCGGGGGGCACTTGAAATTTTCGGGGGGGGGGGGCGGACACTGTTAAATGTATATATTCGGGGCAGAAGAGATGCCTGGAAGAAACTGAACGTTGCTCAAAGCAATTTTCTCCATTGATATCAATAGAAATGCCATAAATCCGTTCCAGCCTTACCCCCCCCCCCCCCGCCCAATTCCACCACAACTGTTATTTATATCTGTATCTTTTTTTTTCCCACGTTTTCTTTAACTTGCTTTCGTCTCTGTTTTTCCGATCAAATCTTGCGATCGAAATTTCTGGCACTTCCCAGTTAGCTAGCGCGCTGAAATTTTCAGGGAAGCTTTGTTTTGGATGACAATAGAATATTCAATTGTTATTATTACTAAATTGATCCATGGAAACATTTTATTGAGCATTTTAGACCGCTATATAATTGTAGTAAAAACGTGGGGAAAAAGGGACATCACCCAGTAACTGTAATTTGATGATAACAAGGTTCGGTACTCTCCCTCTTTGCTTACTGAGTAGTGTTCACGCGGTGTTTGTGTACAAACAACCGTAACAACTGGTGGCCAGAATGGGGGAGACGATATGGTCGAGTGGTTGGGCACACGATTGCTATCCCACTCGACACGGGTTCAAATCTATGTGTTCTAGTCAGTAACGTATTCACACAACGTGTTTTTTACAAGTTGTCTTTTTACGAGTTGTCTTCGTTTACCCAAAAAAAAGTGAAAAGATAAAATCGATAGCAAGATTTTAATGCAAACAAACAGACAAAGACTAAAAAGTAGAAAATAATAATCATTAAAAAAGTTTTTAAAAACCCACGTTTTCTGATTGATCAAAAACGTGGGGCGCCGTGATTTTCTTACAGTTTCTAATACTGTTGACTCTCTACAAGCTCCCTAATAAAAGTCAATAGTATTATCTAATCAATAGTAATATAACTTTTACTTCGGCGCCCCACGTTTTTCATCGCTTATAGTAGAGTGATCGCTTGCATTATTGTGATGTATAGCATTTATTTTCTACTTTTTAGTTCAATCAGAAAACGTGGGTTTTTTTAAACTTTTTTAATGATTATTATTTTAATAATGAAGGCGTATTTGAACATAACAAATATTGTTTTTAACAACATAATAAAGGATAATGCAAAGGAGGTGTGTAGGCCCAGTGTAGGGTGAAGGTGTAAGCCCAGTGTAGGGTGGAGGTGTAGGCCCAGTGTAGGGTGGAGGTGTAGGCCCAGTGGAGGGTGGAGGTGTAGGCCCAGTGTAGGGTGGAGGTGTAGGCCCAGTGTAGGGTGGAGGTGTAGGCCCAGTGTAGGATGGAGGTGTGGGTTGGAGTTGTAGGCCCAGTGTAGAGTGGAGGTGTAGGCCCAGTGTAGGGTGTAGGTGTAGGCCCAGTGTAGGTGTGGGGTGGAGGTGTAGGCCCAGTGGAGGTGTGGGGTGGAGGTGTAGGCCCAGTGAAGGTGTGGGGTGGAGGTGTAGGCCCAGTGGAGGTGTGGGGTGGAGGTGTAGGCCCAGTGTAGGTGTGGGGTGGAGGTGTAGGCCCAGTGTAGGGTTGAGGTGTAGGCCCAGTGAAGGTGTGGGGTGGAGGTGTAGGCCCAGTGGAGGTGTGGGGTGGAGGTGTAGGCCCAGTGGAGGTGTGGGGTGGAGGTGTAGGCCCAGTGTAGGGTTGAGGTGTAGGCCCAGTGAAGGTGTGGGGTGGAGGTGTAGGCCCAGTGTAGGGTAGAGGTGTAGGCCCAGTGGAGGTGTGGGGTGGAGGTGTAGGCCCAGTATAGGTTGGAGGTGTAGGCCCCAGTGGAGGTGTGGGGTGGAGGTGTAGGCCCAGTGTAGGGTAGAGGTGTAGGCACAGTGGAGGTGTGTGGTGGAGGTGTAGGCCCAGTGTAGGGTAGAGGTGTAGGCCCAGTGTAGGGTAGAGGTGTATGCCCAGTGGAGGTGTGGGGTGGAGGTGTAGGCCCAGTGTAGGGTGGAGGTGTAGGCCCAGTGGAGGTGTGGGGTGGAGGTGTAGGCCCAGTGGAGGTGTGGGGTGGAGGTGTAGGCCCAGTGTAGGGTGGAGGTGTGGGGTTGAGGTGTAGGCCCAGTGTAGGGTGGAGGTGTAGGCCCAGTGGAGGTGTGGGGTGGAGGTGTAGGCCCAGTGTAGGGTGGAGGTGTGGGGTTGAGGTGTAGGCCCAGTGTAGGGTGGAGGTGTAGGCCCAGTGTAGGGTGGAGGTGTAGTCCCAGTGTAGGGTGGAGGTGTAGGCCCAGTGTAGGGTTGAGGGTGTAGGCCCAGTGTAGGGTGGAGGTGTGGGGTTGAGGTGTAGGCCCAGTGTAGGGTGGAGGTGTAGGGTGGAGGTGTAGGCCCAGTGTAGGGTGGAGGTGTAGGCCCAGTGTAGGGTGGAGGTGTAGGCTCAGTGTAGGTGGAGGTGTAGGCCCAGTGTAGGGTAGAGGTGTAGGCCCAGTGGAGGTGTGGGGTGGAGGTGTAGGGTGGAGGTGTAGGCCCAGTGGAGGTGTGGGGTGGAGGTGTAGGCCCAGTGTAGGGTGGAGGTGTGGGGTTGAGGTGTAGGCCCAGTGTAGGGTGGAGGTGTAGGCCCAGTGGAGGTGTGGGGTGGAGGTGTAGGCCCAGTGTAGGGTGGAGGTGTGGGGTTGAGGTGTAGGCCCAGTGTAGGGTGGAGGTGTAGTCCCAGTGTAGGGTGGAGGTGTAGGCCCAGTGTAGGGTTGAGGTGTAGGCCCAGTGTAGGGTGGAGGTGTGGGGTTGAGGTGTAGGCCCAGTGTAGGGTGGAGGTGTAGGGTGGAGGTGTAGGCCCACCCAGTGTAGGGTGGAGGTGTAGGCCCAGTGTAGGGTGGAGGTGTAGGCTCAGTGTAGGGTGGAGGTGTAGGCCCAGTGTAGGTGGAGGTGTAGGCCCAGTGGAGGTGTGGGGTGGAGGTGTAGGGTGGAGGTGTAGGTGTGGGGTGGAGGTGTAGGCCCAGTGTAGGGTGGAGGAGTAGGCCCAGTGGAGGTGTGGGGTGGAGGTGTAGGGTGGAGGTGTAGGTGTGGGGTGGAGGTGTAGGCCCAGTGTAGGGTGGAGGAGTAGGCCCAGTGTCGGGTGGAGGTGTAGGCCCAGTGTAGGTTGGAGGTTTAATCCCAGTGTAGGATGGAGGTTTGGGTCCAGTGTAGGGTGGAGGTTTAGGCCCAGTTATGGTGGAGGTGTAAAGCCCAGTGTAGGGTGGAGGTGTGGGTCCACCTTCATCACTGGTAATGCTAAGTTGTTTGGGTCACTTTATTTATATGGAATTTATTTAGAAAATATATACTTCAAACAGTGTGTCGTCGGTCTCCTCCCCCCCCCCCTCCCCCCAGGAGAAAAAAATTCTGGAAGAAAATGTGTGGTCAAGGTTTTTTTTCCACTACGCTTTCTTCAGAGTTTCTTCCAGTCAGACATCTCTTCGGGGGGGGGGGGGAGTCTGGAAGAAACACTGGCTTTCTTCACTTTCCCATTTCCCAAGCAGGCCGTTAAAAGGAGGTTTACTTTGGCCATTTCAGAACGTTTAGGAAATGAGTACGTAACATTAAATAGCTCCAGTACACAATCAGTTGCAGCTTTTCAACGAGCTGTTAACCCCTCTAATCTAATTACTCTTAACTCAAATTTTGCTCGAATGTCAGAGCAAATTTCAGCTCACTCGGCAGCTCGTATCTCAAAAATCTCGTGTGTCGGGGATTTCGTAAGTCGAAGTACCACCGTAGGCCTATGTGTGTGTGAAATAAAAACGGTGTGACAATAAACAAAAGCTAGTGAAAATACACAAACATTCCAAAATAGGAAATAACATCAGTTGATAGAAATCCAGCTACAAAGTTAATTTAATACACTTAGCTGTTGTATCAAGTGGCTCTCTCACTCTCAGTATTGTCTATAGTTATACGACTGAAGTTAGGATTTGGATATCTTCCCAAGCATGTGAAAAATAAAAACGTCATTTATGATCGAAAAGAAAAAGCGTGGGTGGCTTCTTGAATTCTAGTGAAGGTAGTCAATACATAATAGTGACCTAACCTTTTCAATTTCAGCTAAGATAGTAGATTGTCATTTTTAAAACGTTTGTAATTACCGTAAGTTGAGAAAGATTGAGGTCGCACTTATTTGTAAAGCAGTGTAGTGATTTCATTTTCGTAATTAACTTCAAATAAAATTCATTAATTCAACTCAAAATTAACTTTAAATATATTTTCTACTACTCCTATGGTACTTTGGGCAATCCAAAGGGTCCACGTCCTGGTTACTGAAAGGGTGGGGGGTCACCAGTTTCTTTCACTCTTAAAATGAGGGGAGGGGGAGGGATTGAAATAAAAATGTATTAAAAACATCCTTAGAATTCCGGAGAAGAATGAAAATGATCACTGGTACTAAATCATGGGGCACCCCCTTTATTTTACCAACATTAATTTAACAAGTATTTTCTTTTAATGCATTTTCTTACTTTAATTTTAATAATGTAAAAGATTATTTTAAATAAATTCAACTATTAATTAAAATACATAAATGTTTGTATAATTTCTATAAAATTAAAGATTCCTATTCCTAAATGTAATACATTGGTAGAGATGCTTGAGATTTTAAAAGATTTGATTTTACTGTTAACTTTTTTTACTTAATATTTGTTAGTTTTGTTACCTTAACTGAAATTGTACCCTGTATTCAGCAACTGGTGCAAATGAAAATGTATGTAGGACATAGAAAATTTAACCACTCCCAATATTACAAAGAGTAAGTACTAATTATATAGATCATAACTGCAATACCTAGTAGATCTATAATTTACTTACATTTGTGATACATGGAAGCCCATCTTTTATTTAAAAGCTCTTTCAACTTTATATAGATCTTAAACATGGTCAATTAGCAAACAAGAAAAAAAAAAACGAATTTGAACTTAAATATTTATTTGTAACTATGTACAATCCATCTCAAGAGTACTTGCATAATAGTTTTTACCAATGCTCACACCTTTTTTTTGTAGTTTCCTCATCTACAGCTATGAGGAAGATTGTTTTCAATCTTTGCCAAAATATGTAACTACAGCATTACATGAAATAATTTTATAAATAAAAATACAAAAATAAGGTGTGAGGAATTTTCCTAATATCTGTACAGAAATCTGCATCAAAAATGATTCATCACTTTGTAGTAGAATGTCCAGGAAGGTGTGTGTATCTTATGTAGGCATCGCTACCATCACCTGTGTCCGATGGGTTACATGGGTTTAAAATTTGTCCATTGTACATTGTAGGTGGTGAAGTGCCTGAAACCATTAGTCTTTGAACCTTGTGGCCATGCTTCACAAGAATGGTAGGGCTGCTAAACGACCTTCTTGTGAGAGCATAATGTTTCTTGTATCCGGCAACAGCATTTTTTGCAGCGGCTTGTACAGGAATTACAGGCACAGTGGCTACAGATGTCTGGTCTGAAGTACAATTTACTTCTGTCACGGGAGAATGGATGCGGTTTGCCAATGTCTGCTCTACAGGAATCACATTGCCCTGAAAAGGGAAAGTATATAAAAAAAAAGTATCATTAAGTCTTTAACAGAGAACTAGAACATTAATAACAGGTTCGTCATAATGTGTACCATTTGGGTAAGTAAAATAAAGTGTTACCCAACTTATTTTGGTATTTTTCAGACTAATTTATTGCCTATGACTTTTTGCCTGACAACTAGCAAAATAAACAAAGTAGCTTCAATTAACCTGTTTACTATTTTATTCAATATTATGCATCACAAACTTTCAGTATGTAATGAAATGTATAGAACATACTTGACAAAAATGCATCACAATTACTACAGTATACATTGTTTCATATGTACACAAAGCTCTTACATGCATAGTTGTTTGCTATTTAAAGTTAGCATTAACAGCTAAATTCAAATGCTGGCTCACAAAAATTAATGAAAATGGAATAGGGAGTAAGCTTTCTAAATTAGTCTAGACCAAGATTCCAGATAATTAGGGATTTTTTTAAACAGTTAATATGTTCAGTTGAATTGGATTTCAAAATCAATACTAAGTATAAAAAAGTGTATCATACTTCAAAAACTTAAACAAATAGTTGTATTTATTTTAAGTCCCATGAATGTTCAAGAACATACAAATAATTTAGAATTAAAATAGTTATGTCCAAAAAGTATTATTAGTTGTGACAAGGTGTGACAGAAAACCTTCACTGGATCTATAGGATTATTGTGTATTGGGGAAGTTTAAAGAAATAATCAAATTTCAAACATATAAATTTGTAAAATTGTAATGTTTTGTAAAGGTCACACCGACTTTAGTTAATATTAGGGTTCTATTGTTTTGATTCCTTAAAAAAAAAGTGAGGTGTAATCCTTAAAGATCCAGTTATGTTCTCCAAGCTGCAGACATTGTTTCTATTTTATAGGATTTAATTAAAACAGAAATGAAAAAAATAAATACATTATTCAAATATTACCATGACATAATTACTTATTTTTATCTACTAACATTTGGACATTTAATTGTTAGTTTTAACACCAAGAAAATTGTAATAAAATACTAAGAATTCAATGGCATTTTTTAATGTGCCATTTTCCACTAAGGTATTAGTTTATCCTTTTAAAATAACATTAAATTACTAGAACTTTAAAGTTTAGCTGCAAAAACCCAATACTAATGTAGCAAAATGCTTTTAATCCCCTGAGACAAATATTTTACTGTATTTAGAAACACTAAGAATATTTGCAGTGTTTTATTCTTTAAAAAAAGAGCTTTAAAAAAATGCACATTGTTAAAAATTGTCTCAAAATAAATGCAACATTCTAAGCCAAAAAAGGCTTACCTGAAAATGAAAGCTACAAAGTCATTTTAATGAAGTTATGCTGGTATTGATCTCAAAACATGACACACCTGTTAAATTGTAGGTTTGTCTTTTATTTTTAAAAAAAATACCTTTAAATGTTGTCAGTAATCTTTCAATACATTTCTTTAATAACATGGTTAAAAAGATCCTAAATTATAAATAATTTAAACATTTCAGAAAAAAAAATCATGCAAAGGGCATTTAGGGTTGATTTATTGAAATATTGGTTAACAATTCATTAAGAAAAATATATACACGTTTTTATGTTTCCTTAATTACATCAATGCTTTTGTAAAATACAGCAGTACAAAGCTATTTTTTAAATTTGCTACTGTCAGGTGTTTGGTAAATTATTAAGTGTACTGTAAATACTGCTTTCTTTTAACCTTTACAAGACAGTAAAGCCTAACTATCCTACTGAAAATATTGCCCATTTATTTCGTTTCAAAGTTTTTTTAAAAGATACAATTACTTGTCTAGTTTTCTATATGTATATATTTAAAATATACCATTAACTACTATATTAACACATTTGCCTCATTTATGACAGAACCTACAACTTATTTTAAAGTTTTCTAAAAGATGCTAAATAGTAATATAAAAAAAAATTAAATTATTGTTTAAAAATCACTATTTCTGCTGTACATAGTACAAAAACTTACTTTTACTTGAAATATAATTCATTATTAACGAAATAGCAAAAATTTACAAAGATAAAACTGGGCATCAGGGGAACTATAAAACAAAACTTTAAGCGAGCAAAGGAGGTTAAAATAAAAAAAATCAATCGACGAAAGCTGTAGGTTTTAGTTTTAAACACAAAAAAGATTTCAAATATCTTTCGGTAGAAAATGTATAAAGCAAAAACTGGAAGAAAGTTTAAGTTTTATGTAGCAAATATTCACTTAACATTTAAATTTTGTTCTTAGTGATAGTTTTACAATATCAGTTAAAAAAGTCTGTAATAGAAAAATTAAAATGATTGTATAACAAATATGGACTACTGAACAATTGAGAAGAGACAATATTTTGTGCAAACACTATTTCTAACACAAAATGCTCCTGACCACTTAACTTTCCACTAATATCTTACTTTTGGGGGGGGGGGGGGGGAAAGAGAAACAGTAATTAACATTTTAGAAAATATTCACAGCAATCTAAATTGCAATTTTTTGCACAAGGCCCTTATAAAATGATCGTAGACCTGATTATTTTTTTTAAATGTTTACGGCAGTCAAGTGTATATGTATGATTAAAAATTTTATTTGCAGTTTTTTAATTTGCAATTGCACTAAGCAATTTAATGTTTTTAATAATGAAATTAATTAAGTGATAAGAAAAAATATAGCTCCTATTGTGATTTTTAAAATAAACGATGTATTAAAAAAAACTCCAGGCAGAAAAAAAAGACAACAGAATTCATCCCAGACTTCCAGTTCTTACAAATCCATTAACATCAAAAGAATGATTGTACCAGTAGATAACTAGTCATGAACTACTTTAAATTCAAATTTTAAAATTACAGGTAATAAATAAATACAATCTGAACTGTTACTAAAATCAAAACAAATCAGAATCAAATACTCCTAAAGTGTTAAAAATTTAAATTTATGCATCTGAAGTCAATTATTTTAATGGGTTATTTGTTTTGATGTAAACTGCTTTAAACTTGTTTTCAAATTTCCAAGAAATATGGCAAATAACTGCATTTATACATGTATATTAAAGAAAAAGTATAGTATATTACTTGAGTACCAATTCACATAAACTAAAAATGCAACATAAAATATGAATATTAATACAGCACACACAAAAATAGAAGTCAATTTTTACAAAAAGAAAGAAAAAAACTCAAATTACTTAATAGAACATTTCATTGTTATAAAATAGCTACAATGTATTGCAATTACTTCATAGATACAACAATTTTGTTACTATAAAATAGCTACAATGTCTTGCAACTTCTTGGATCTTAAATGGATTTATAAACTATAGGTTAGTCAAAAAATGTAAATTGAGATTAAATTTAGCAATTACAAGATAAAAATTTCATACAAAGAACTATAGAAATTTATATTAGTTTAATAGAGTGAAAATTTTTGTTCAATGCATGCAATTTGCTGTCTAGTGTTAATTTTTAAAAAACCTAACTTGCTATGTACATTTTAATGCTTAACAACTGATGAAGTTGACAGACAACTGCCTGTAAGACAATTCATGTTATATAAGTATCTGCATTTCCCTCGTGTTTTTTTTTATATTAAAGGAATGAGACATTGGAATTTTTATTTTAAAATCTTAAAACATATTTAGTTTTGTATTAGTTCACTATATTTTCAAATTAATTTTTTTTTGCTATAAGTTATAACAATTAATTGTAAGTGTAAATTTTAAATTTGCAATATGTATGCTAGAAATCAATGTTTACAATTCCTTTTTTTTTTAAATTCATAAACCTGGAACTCTAGATTTTAACACCTAACCAATTGCCTATTTGTACCAGTAAGGTTATGCAGTTTTTGTTTTTTTTATATTTTTTTAAAATTACAACTGTTACTACCCGTATATCAGGTTTGTTGATAGATAAAATTATCTCTGACCCAGCTAGGTTGCTTGTGATGTGTTTCTCATAATTTTTTCCCTTCCCATATTTTTTCGTCTATTGTCTATCAGCATACAGGGATATATTTAATTCAAATATTTTCTAACATAAATTCTATTATTTTCTTTCTACTCAAACCCAAAGAAGCTGACTGATAAGCCTTCCTATAGTAGTTTCACTTAAAAGGATTTCAAAATTTAACATTGATGGCTTTCTAGTTAACTTTTTAAATTGATGAAGATATAAATGTGCATTAGACAAGAATCAACACATGCTGATCAGTTTTAGAATATGCCTATTATAAAAAAAAAGAGATAGTTTTAAGATTTTAAAATCTCTAAAGCTGGTGAGTATTGTATCATGCATTTCTAGAAGTGAATGCTGCAAACAAAAAAAAAAAAATTTTTTTTTAGAAGTAAATGTATATGATGTGTAGGCATGCTTTATTCCAGAAGCGAACCACTTGACCTTCGCAAAGCAAATTACTGATAGTACTGATACAGCTGTTGTACATGTTACCGAGTTGAATTATGAAAGTAGTTTATTAATTATTGATCTTAGGAAATTCAAGGTTTAGCAAGCAAGATCCCTTGTTTTCAAATATACCTTAAGTATTTACACCTTAAATCTTGTATGATTAAATCAAATTATTCATTATTTTAGTTAAGAAAATCCAGTGAATGGTGGGGTGTTAGACTATGACCAGTACTTAGCTGCAGAAAGTTAAGTAATTTGAATATACCTTGCAATACATTTTTTTTAAATATGTGAAATGTTTTTATATGTTTTGGTCAAGCTAATCCTATATTTTAGAAATTAATTTCAATATCAGCAAATAGAATGAATTTAACATATTTGGCAACAATAAATAAAAAAAAAAAAACAGATGAGACTTTTAAACCATAGATAAAATGCACTGTTTAAAAAGGAATGTATGTTAATACAAGAATATTGCATGATTAGGATAGGCATTATGCTATCTTAGATTGTGGCTAATTCAGACTAAAGTTGTTCGTTCATTGTCTTGAGAAAATGTTTATTTCTTTGTTTTCACAATGTTGCAACAAGTAATTTTCATTTTATAATTTTCTTGTGTTAAAACTGTTGAACAGTCGATAATTTTAACATGTTTTGATTTGAATACTTGCTATGTGTAATTGTTCCATTAACCATGTGGATGCTAAAAAAAGCTTATTTTTAGTTTAACTGATTAATATTTATCATACATACTTTAAAAATGGGTTTTGTATCTTAAAAAAAATGTATTCTGTGCTTTTATTTTAACCCTTGTCTTGGATATGTTTATAAGAGCTTATTCCAGAGAGGCTGAACTAAAAATATTTAAAATTTTCCCTTTCACTTTTTAATAATATTGGGTGTGTATATATCAAACTAAACAACCCTCTTAGAAGTTCAACTAATGTGAACTTATTTTAAGCAGCAAGAATTAGTTAGTTGCTAATACACAATAAAATATGTAACAACATAATGGCTTAACAGAATTCATAACATAGGAAGTTATTTTTGTGTAACTGTTCAAAACTGAGTTTCATTAAGTTACCAGCATATCTGCTTGTCTGAAATAAGTAATGATGATAAAATATTATGCACAGAATTATTTATCCCAACTCTAGTGAAATAGCGTAATCCTCACTTTACTTTCAATGTTAAAAGTTAGCTTATAAATAATAAGAAACATCTAAGGAAAGATATGCCAGATTTGCATGATTTTTAAATCTGAAATAAAATGTTTATTTTAAATGCTATTACAAAACTAAAATGCATACAAGCAGTTTTTAGAAAACAAGCTTAAAATCCAGATTAAACAATGTAAAACAGTTTGTGATATTACTTTTTGAAGAGCTACCAAAAAAAAAAAAAAATGGTGCAAAATTTGCTGTCTCAAAGCCATTCCTAAAATGTTATTTATCGCTAAGAAATTAAGATATTTGAAATATTAGATATAGTAACATTATGCTGAATGAATATCAAGAGGAGCTGGTAAGTTTTGGTGGATCTGTGTGTATTTACTTATTGGATCATACAAGTTAAAAAATTTTCAGGAAAGTAAATAATAGTTCAAAGAAAATCTTTCCTTGGAAAAATGTATCAATGCATTTACAGAAATTTTTTGTACTGATCAACGTTACAATTTATGATTGATTATTACTTTTTTGAATAGAATTTTTCTCCAAGCTTTAAAAGTATTTAGAAAGCCACATCACAGACAGCCTACACAATAAAGGTTTTAACTTCAGTAATTTTTACAAGGTGTAGTTTCACACAAGCTGAATTGTCATATTTTACTAAAAATTTAAGTTTATTGTATCAATATTGTAGGGCAAGCTAGATTTTATGATGTCAAACTTGTTTTAGTGCTTTTAATTGCCTATCACTTTAATGATTAAAACTTAAATTCTATTAAACCAGATGTGCTACTATATGATCTGTTACCTCCACTGTTGTTCCATCAACGAAAGTAGCATCAGCAAGCTCAGCACCTTGATATGCCTGGGGTGTTTGGTAAAGAACATCTGCAGCTGTTGGCATAGTTGCCCAAATGTATCCTGGGTTCGCAGGAACTGGTTGTAAAGAACTCTGCAAAGATAACTAACACACAAAAATATTTTAGGCAAAAATCTTTTACTTTTAATATTTAAATGATTGTTTCAATGCAATTAAAGAAAATTACCTGCTGATATGGATACTGGGGAGTCATATAAACTTGATTTTGTGGAATCATGACAGCAGTTGTTGCATATGACTGCTAGGAAAATGTCAATTTAATTTGATGTAATTACAATACAAATTACATGTGAGTAAAAGCAGATGTTATATTAAGGAGATAAAAAAAATGTAGCAAATTTGACTAATACATTCGAGCAAGAGGTCGACCTTTTTATATTACTAACAGTTTACAGTGTAATCATTTTTAAGCTTGCCCCCTTTGTACCATTAAAGGTTTATTTAGAGTTTAATGTTTAGATTTTATCATAAAGTACTGTACCTGAGGCTGAGCCAATGGATAATTTCCATCTGGAGTTTGAAAGATCGCCATGCCATTCTGATAGGTATAGGGCACACCATTAGTAAAAAGCACAGATCCAGGTGGAATGCTGGCATCTGCAAAAAAAAAAAAATGTTCATTTGCAAAATCTATTTTAATGGTGTGTAAACATTTTTATAACAAAATTGTGTTAATACTAATGATTCCACTAAAAAAAGGTATACATTTGACAAACTCACCATAAGGACGTGGTAAGCCCTGTAATAATGAAGCAAAAATTTAAAAATCAAATACAATTCCCTTGACAACAGATTAATAAATTTAGAAATTGTAACAAACTTATCAAGTCAAAAATACATAAATATATGTATAAAACGACAGTTAACTTTTAACAGACTTAACACAAAAGTTTCTTAAGAAAAATGGTTATTTTTTTCCCCAGAAATTTTCATAAAGGTAGGCGGCCATTATCATACTATGCTTTTAAATTATACCTCTCCCCACACATTATTTAATTGTGAAAGCCCTCCAAGAGATGTACACAAGAAGAAATATTTACCTGTTTCCTCACAGCAGGGCCAATATTTAGTTTTCTGTCTTTAAAAATTAGATTATCTGACTAGGAAAATAAAGTTTTATTGTAAATAAAAGCAACAAGTACAAATCGTTGGCAATGACATATATACAATATAGGCCTGCCCAAGTAATAAGCACATTTCCCAATACAAGTGAAAAGTTCTGGACTAAAGATAAGTAGATAAATTATGTTAAATATTTAAAGTTTAGAGCCAATTTTTATTGAATTCAAAATTAATGTTCAAAGGGTTTCAAAACTACAGATTGAAAAAATGTATATACACAATACATTTTTACCAATTTTGCCATTTACACAAATGGAGAGTGAATTGAGCATGGAGTTCAATTTTTTAAGATGGTACTTTTCTCTTTTAGAAATATTTTTTGTGTAAAGGTTTTTCTGAAAAATCAGTCTGAAGCAAGTAGGGCAAATTTTGTAGGACTCCTTGCAAAGTGCTGGAACCAACTGCTAACTGACTTAACCATATAGAATAAAACTAAAGAACCACACATTTATCAAAAGATTAACTAACTCTTAAACCATATTTCAGTCCTCAAATTAATTTAAATCTGGATATTATCACTAATGCTTTTATATTTTCAGATTGATCAGTTTCTTTCACAGTTCTGACAGCCAACAAGAAAAAGAACACGTCAAATCTAATATTCCTAGTAAAATATTTAATGAGTAAGGGAGATTATATAACTGCTTAACTACAAGCAAAGACAACTACTCAAATTTGTACATAAATTTTCTATCATTACATTGTGAAAAGTTCTGGACTAAAGATAAGTAGATAAATTATGTTAAATATTTAAAGTTTAGAGCCAATTTTTATTGAATTCAAAATTAATGTTCAAAGGGTTTCAAAACTACAGATTGAAAAAATGTATATACACAATACATTTTTACCAATTTTGCCATTTACACAAATGGAGAGTGAATTGAGCATGGAGTTCAATTTTTTAAGATGGTACTTTTCTCTTTTAGAAATATTTTTTGTGTAAAGGTTTTTCTGAAAAATCAGTCTGAAGCAAGTAGGGCAAATTTTGTAGGACTCCTTGCAAAGTGCTGGAACCAACTGCTAACTGACTTAACCATATAGAATAAAACTAAAGAACCACACATTTATCAAAAGATTAACTAACTCTTAAACCATATTTCAGTCCTCAAATTAATTTAAATCTGGATATTATCACTAATGCTTTTATATTTTCAGATTGATCAGTTTCTTTCACAGTTCTGACAGCCAACAAGAAAAAGAACACGTCAAATCTAATATTCCTAGTAAAATATTTAATGAGTAAGGGAGATTATATAACTGCTTAACTACAAGCAAAGACAACTACTCAAATTTGTACATAAATTTTCTATCATTACATTGTGAAAAGTTCTGGACTAAAGATAAGTAGATAAATTATGTTAAATATTTAAAGTTTAGAGCCAATTTTTATTGAATTCAAAATTAATGTTCAAAGGGTTTCAAAACTACAGATTGAAAAAATGTATATACACAATACATTTTTACCAATTTTGCCATTTACACAAATGGAGAGTGAATTGAGCATGGAGTTCAATTTTTTAAGATGGTACTTTTCTCTTTTAGAAATATTTTTTGTGTAAAGGTTTTTCTGAAAAATCAGTCTGAAGCAAGTAGGGCAAATTTTGTAGGACTCCTTGCAAAGTGCTGGAACCAACTGCTAACTGACTTAACCATATAGAATAAAACTAAAGAACCACACATTTATCAAAAGATTAACTAACTCTTAAACCATATTTCAGTCCTCAAATTAATTTAAATCTGGATATTATCACTAATGCTTTTATATTTTCAGATTGATCAGTTTCTTTCACAGTTCTGACAGCCAACAAGAAAAAGAACACGTCAAATCTAATATTCCTAGTAAAATATTTAATGAGTAAGGGAGATTATATAACTGCTTAACTACAAGCAAAGACAACTACTCAAATTTGTACATAAATTTTCTATCATTACATTGTGAAAAGTTCTGGACTAAAGATAAGTAGATAAATTATGTTAAATATTTAAAGTTTAGAGCCAATTTTTATTGAATTCAAAATTAATGTTCAAAGGGTTTCAAAACTACAGATTGAAAAAATGTATATACACAATACATTTTTACCAATTTTGCCATTTACACAAATGGAGAGTGAATTGAGCATGGAGTTCAATTTTTTAAGATGGTACTTTTCTCTTTTAGAAATATTTTTTGTGTAAAGGTTTTTCTGAAAAATCAGTCTGAAGCAAGTAGGGCAAATTTTGTAGGACTCCTTGCAAAGTGCTGGAACCAACTGCTAACTGACTTAACCATATAGAATAAAACTAAAGAACCACACATTTATCAAAAGATTAACTAACTCTTAAACCATATTTCAGTCCTCAAATTAATTTAAATCTGGATATTATCACTAATGCTTTTATATTTTCAGATTGATCAGTTTCTTTCACAGTTCTGACAGCCAACAAGAAAAAGAACACGTCAAATCTAATATTCCTAGTAAAATATTTAATGAGTAAGGGAGATTATATAACTGCTTAACTACAAGCAAAGACAACTACTCAAATTTGTACATAAATTTTCTATCATTACATTGTATTAATTCAGTTTCCTTATCAAATTTAATGTTTGCCTCCAACACTTTTTTTTAAATAGTTGTATGCTACGAAATTTTATGATAATATATATATATATATATATATATAATTCTCTTCTGGGAGAAAACAAGCTGCAAGTGCGCCTTGCAGTCCCCTCTCTTCCTCTCTATTGCTACCACCCCCACATGGTCTGATGAGCTGTGGTTCACGCTAAATGTTTACATAATACAATCATAGAGCCGGGTTTGGTGACTGCTATTAGGGGCAGATAATTTACTTTGAAACGATTTTAAACTTAGAGGAGGCTGCGTTCACGGGGGGGGGGGGGGTGTGTGTGTTTGTGTTAGTGTTTTAAAGCAAATATTTTCAGTGGCAGCATTGGTACTGTCGAATTCACAAATTATAAATTACTGAAAAGTAGAAAGAAAAAAAAACAACAGCTAATAGCGGCGTATGATACACCGCGGGTCGGCTCGGCTAAAATAAATTGCAAGTGTATGAAAAATGTGAAGCACCATTTTGCAACGCAACTTAGTTATGTAAGTTTGTATCTGAGAATTTAATTGAAGATATAATTTTGTATATTAAGAAAAAGTGATGTTAAAACAACTATTAAAGGAAAATGCTTGATTCAGTTAAGAGGGGAGAATTTAGTATATGTGGAAAATTCTGACAGATACTAAAAAGAAACACTTGTAGTTTTGCCTCATATTTAAAAACATTGAAAATGACTAAGATTTATGTGTAAAGGTCCTTAACATTTTAATTTTACCAGCCAGTCCTCTGATCAAAAAATGATTTTAGTGAATCTGCAAGGTAAAGAAAGAATCATCAAACTGAAATCATTTGTAGTATCTTACCTCTTTTTTTATTATTCTATCAGCATCTTCTTGACTCTCAAATGTAACAAATCCATATCTGCAAACACCATAAATAAATGTGAATTTACATAAAGAAATAATTGTGTCAAAAAAGGTCTTGTTAAGTTTTAAACAACATAAATAGCTGAGCACAAAATGAAAATATTGCAGTGGTCATGATAGCTTTTAAGATAGAAATGCTAACATGTTTATAAATTTAATAATTATATAAAAATAGTACATTTAGGAAGATTTACTGTCAGGGCACAAAAATATCTTTTAATTCGCATACCAAGCAATGATGCAAAACTACATACTTTAAAAATTAAAAGCAAAAAAGCTCTCAAGTCTGTAATAGAAAACATTTACAGAGAGGAAATAAAAACATAAAACCTAGAAAATGGCAATTTAAAAAAATGTTCACACCATTGCTAGTTAACCCTTAATGATCGTGACTTTGCTGTTACATAACTTATAACGCGTAAGGTGATGTGGCACAGGCTTTAAGGGTTAATTTTTAAAAATTCAAAGCAGTTACTGGAACAACCCCTCATATCACTAAATTGGTTACACTGAACGGAAGCTGGATCTAATTGCAGAAGCATTAATTAGCTTTAATTTTGCTAATAATATTGATTGTGATTTTAAGAGAAAGAACTTGGGACTTTTAAAAATCATGATTAACTACTACTGATAGAACTAAGAAAAATGTAAATAACTTTTCTTCAGTCTTCCACTGATATCTTACTACGCAAAATAATTTACTATACTGTGAGTTACAAACAGTAGGCATATCACACAAGAAAAATCTCTGGCACACAAGATTACATAATATTATACAAAATAAAAATTCTGTCTAATCAGTCGCACATAGTATTAGGCATACTACAGCATTAACTAGTTTAACAAACCTACCCCTTAGAAACTCCTGCCCGATCTGTTATAATCTTAGTATCTTTGACAGCACCAAATGCAGAAAAATACTGTTTTAGTTCTGCATCAGTTGTCTGAAAAAAGGTTTTTTTTATGATTCAGTATTTCATGGCATTTATCCAAAAATTTAAATGTATGGGTAAGAAAATTTTCAGATTACATATTTATGGTAGCTAGCACGGCTTTAGATGAAGACTGATTTCAGGAAGATCCAACTAGCATCATCAACCTACATTACAATACTATACTATTTTGACATGAATATTGCAATTAATGAATTTAACACATATGTATATTCCACTTTTAAGGATACTTGCTACTGTAGTAGGGACTGCAAATGACATAGGCCTACTTACACTTCATTAGATGAGTGATTTTAATTTAAATGATTATCAAGTAAGAGGTTTAAGTGTGTGTGTGTGTGTGGATGATTTCTGATATTGTTTCTGTTGCAAACTATTTCTAATCAGCATATTAACACTGTCTGATGTAACCCAAAAGCTTAATTTTAATTTACCAGAGATTACTAGCTTGAAAAAAAGTTTTAATTTTTAATGTATGCTGATATTTTTGTCAATATATAAACAAGTCAACTGCAAATTATCTATGACTTAAATTACACATATTTACATTTGCAGCAATTCCACCAACAAAAATTCTACTTGGTATAACTGTACCAAACTTTGGAGGATGTCCACCACTCAAAGGGGTTGAACTTGGTGTTGTAACTGGCGAAACATCAGCTGAGGACTATAAAATTAGATCTTAAGCCACCAATACATGGCTGGGTCTTTGTATCATACTTGTGTAGGTAACCATAAGTATTAGGGTTTGAAGTAGCCAGAGTTTGAGAGAGGGTTAAGGTTATAATTTAGTGTCTGTTGGTAGATAGGATTAGGCCCTTATAGGTCAGTAATATTAATAAAATCTACCATCCAGTCTCTGCTGGTAGTGCCTTTGTTAATTTCTAGACAAAAATCCCTCAGGTAATCATTTTTTGGGAGGATTAGCCCCCCCCCCTACTTATACCAGTGGATAAAAAAGGCCCTTTTAAAAAGGGTGTTAGGTAACTTGTTAGTTTAGTTAACTTAATACACATGACTTGCTAATAACCCCAAACTTATTAGTCCTATCATTTGCCTAAACCTAATTTCTCTCCATAAAATTAGATCTAGATGAGATTACAATACTAATACTTTATAAAGTTTATAGACATCAGTATACTCAATCATCCCATTTATGTATCTAAGTATTACTAATATTACCAATGACAAAGCTTAACACTCTAGATCTATATCTAGATTTATTTATTTTTGTCACTCCTGGGGAAGTGAGGGTTTAGGAGTTTGAGCTGATGTGTGATGGGGAAGTAGGGAAGAGTTTGTGATGTAATTTTTAGGGTAAAAAGAAAAAGGTGATGAGGTCGTGAATTATTTTTTTTTAGATCTAAATGGCAGTAAATGGGCCTTTAAAATTGACTAGATTCTAGATCTAGAAAGGTGTTTTTTTAAAAACAGCAGTTGAAAAAAAAACACTTGCCAAGAATCCAGTAGGTAGATCATAAGATCTAGAATCTAGACTAGATTTAGATCTAGATTTTTAGATCGAGTCAAGGGTCTAGATCTGTTTCTAGAGTAGATCTATATCTAGATAGTAGATTCTAGATAGATCTAATCTTGAGCTCTCTCTAGTGTAGTATGTAGCATTTGGACGAAGGGAGATAACTTTCATATAAAAACCTGTCCAGAAGCTCTGATTTTACAAATTTTGTTTTTACCGGTCTCTTTAATTTAAAATTAATATAATTTCCATTATACAAATAAAAAGCAACCATATTTTCAAAATCTACTGAGGTTCCTTGCCTAAGTGCAGTTACTTGTGTTACCTCTCCTTTTCTTTCTTTTTTGCCTTTAAAAAAATTAATCTAGATATCTAGATCTATCTTCTTAGCTTCTAGATCTAGACTAAAGAATCTAGATCTAGAGTCTAGAACTCTCTCGATCTAAAGTAAAAGAGTGTACTGTCTATTAGTTATAGTTATTGTCTACTAAAGACTAAACTTTAGGATCTAGATCAGGGGTCTCCAAACTTTTCAGCCCGAGGGCCGCATTAACTATCAAATATCAGAATGGGATGATTATAGATACCAGTGTCCGATAATGGAATCATCTTTAAAATAGGGGTGTTGGGTTGTTAGTAGTATTGTAATCTCGACTAATTTTATGGTTAGAAATTAGGGTTAGGCGTATGGTTGGACCAGGGTTGGGGTTAGGGACAGGGTTAGCATTGACATTAGCCAGCCATGGGCCACGTGTGTATTTAGTTAACTACCAGTAACCTAACACCCCTTTTTTACAGAAGATTCCATTATCAGACACCGGTGTAAACATTCTCCCCCATTCTTGAAAATGTTTGTACCCACTGATTTGTTGTTCCTAAATTTGAAAGGTACTTTGATCCAAAAGTTTTAATAATAGAAAAAGTCTTCCTTGGGCAAAATTGTATAAAAACCCACCCGAACTTCTTTGAACCTGTCTCTTAAGGAGGTCATTTGCTTGCAATTCAATGACATCGAGCTGCAGTTCATCTGGGCAACTGGCCACATTTGCTTCACATGGGTTTTGAAACAGTCTCACTTCTTCTGCCTTTAAATTCTACATTTAGCACACAAAGCTTGCTGGCGAATAATACAGTGCAGGGACATTGGTTGTAGACCTAGAATCTAGATCTAGAATGTTTGTCTCATTCGCTTGTCCAACCAAGCCTTTCTTTACGCCAGTCATGTACTTTTCTCCATCAATAGTTAGGTAACTGAGGTTAGTCCAGTCCAAGTTATAAGGCCTTATCAGCAAATGTTTCTTTTTACGTCATTGGATATAGATCTAGATTCTAGTAGATCTCTAATAAGACTAATATCCTCTCCGGTAGCAGTGCCATACATGGTATGTACTATGTAGGGAAGCCAGTTCTTATGTTATGTTTATGTCTTCATCCACAATTCTAATGAACACAAGCAGTTGAGAGGTGGAACAGCTTCCCAACTACTCATCCCTTGAAATTGAAAAATGGCTAAACTTGCAATTTTCGCTATTTGAATCACAATGATATGTTTTCACCAATGTCTGCAACACGGCGGGCTATGGTATTTGCACCCTTCTTGACTAGATTTAGATCTACGTTTTCTAGACTTCTAATTGAATTTTGAATTTTATGGGCAAAGTTCTTCAGCCACCTCCAACAAACATTTTTTTTTCAGTGGACAAAAATATCTCCGCGGGGCGGATGAGAGGACCTCGCGGGCCGTAGTTTGGAGACCCCTGTTCAACTGTTCTAGATTAGCCTATAGAATCTAGATCTAGAAATCTAGATGATGTCTAGATTCTAGATCTAAACTAAATAGTAAATAGTCTATAATTATTAATTAAATAATATTTAATATAATCTATTCTAAGACTCTAGATCTAGATTTTTTACTCTGACTAAAGTCTAGTCTTACTTAATACTTATTACTTAAGACTACTTTAAGTAGTTTAAGAGTAAGAGTCTAGTGACCTAGTCTAGACTAGATCTAGAAAATAATTTAATAAACATACCATTTTTGAGCAGGTTTCATACATTTGATAATTTTTTCTTGAAACTAGTAGATCTATCTACATGAAAACGGAAACAAAATCGAACACTTAACTCCAATTCAATACGAACGGTAATTTACAACATTATTTACAAGTGAACAAGTGAACAGAAGCAAAAAAAAACTACCCGACGGCAGTGTTGTGACGTAATTTTTCGTTGTTAAAATGCGCACGAAAAACTCTCCTGGGCTATACCAATTTGGACGTTTAGGGGTGGCAGGGTTTTTATTGTATTTATTTTTTCTAAAATCAACATAATAAATAACATTATAAAATTCAAGTGTGAAAATATTTTTGAAAAACAATGTTTAGTCTATTTTTGAAAAAGTCTTTTTCGTCAAGGTTTTTGTTAATGAATTTTTACTTTTCAGAAAGTTTATCTTCACCTCTATTTAAATTTATTCATAGATTGCTCCTGATTTTAGCGGGTTAAATAAATAAGGACTGGACAAGTTTTCATTGTTTGCCAACCTAGGCCTAGGCCTACACCCCACTAGTAGATCCTTCTAGATATAGATCTAGACCTAGGCCTATAGAGCCTACTGATTTTGATAAGATTGTTGTTCTAAAAGTAAAAGCTAGATCTAGTTTAGATCCAGATCTAGCCTAGGCCTAATTAATTTTCTTAGAGACTAGATCTAGTGTTGTTATGCCAATTTTAAAAAAAAATATTTCGCTTTAATTAAGCCAGAATCCCAAAAAATTCACTTTATTTTAAATTTGCATCAGCGTAGCTGGCCTATACCCAGCATGTCTTTTGCAGTTTTTACATTGGTGCCTTATTAAAAGTTAAGTGAAAATATCTGTGCTACACTACAAATAGTTACTAGATCTAGATATAGATTCTAGGCTAAAACTAAAATGAAAACCGATAGCCTAATTAAAAGAATAGCGGCGACTTATAAGAAGAATCTCCCTTCTTTGTATCATTTAATTGATCTAGATCTATGTATAGCACAAGCTCAAAATAAATTTTGTTGTAGATCTAGAATCTATAACTAGATCTATAAGAATATTAAGAAATTAACCGACTTTCAAATGCAGAAGTTCTTCATTAAAAGCAAAACTATAGTCCTGTCATAGCAAAAGCAATCCCGATTTTATTCATTTACAGGCACCTGTCAATAGTTTTTGATAGATTAGCAATGTGTTTTTAGACTGTAGCGTTAGCATTGTATTTCTTCTACTGTTTTCAGAAAGCTTTTTTTTTTTAAATTAGGTTTTGGAGAATCGCTCAAACGCCACTGAGAAATGTCGGCACCAAAACAGGTATTCAAGTGGCATCGGTGCTTGACAAAACGCTCTAGATCAGGGGTCTCCAAACGGTAAACGGAAAAAAAGTCACAGGAAAAAAAAACACAGAAAAAAAGTCACAGTTTTTGCTAGGAAAAAAAGTCACGGAAAAAAAGTCACAATGGAAAAATTTTATCGGAAAAAAAGTCACAGAAATAAAGTCACAGAAAAAAAGTCACAAAAATCTTTTTAGAAATATTTTGATTTATTTGTTAAGAATTGTAAAATTGTGTATGTTTATTGTTGTGGGTTGTATTTTTTGATAGCTTAAATTATTTATAGACGTTAAAAGCGTTATGGTTTATACAAATTGTGGGTAAAAATACTCTAAGATAATTTACACAACAATCTTAACTTTTGTTACGTATTTAGTTACATACGCGGTAGAAAATTTAACTATAAAAGAAATTTAGGCACATCATTGTGTTTTGCATAGGTTTTGCCGTAGGCTATTCTATGGTCGGCCTCTCCTCAGTCGGCATTGTCCGAACATATTTTGTGTTGTTGACGTTTTGTGTCAATGACAGCCTTTGAACATTGTCGGCTCTCTGTTTTGATCCTAAGTTTTGTTATGTAATGAGCGTGATAAATGTGGGCAGTAAAGGTGGTTGAACTAAGCATAACTATTGTTGCGATGAGTTGAGGGCAGTAATTCAGATGACCTTACCATTTCACGGTAATTTAATTTAAAAAAGAAACACGATGAAAACCGTGGACATTCTATTAAATGCTATAAATATTATGTTTAACATAATTACAATCTACATAATTCATACTAAATATTTTTAGATGAATTATAAAAATTACTATACGTATACAACCTACACACATTAAATTACATTTAATTAATCCTAAGTTAATGTGCACTCTCTGAATATTTAATACATAAAAGTATTAACAAATCCCATGCAAATATATATTTGTGACTTTTTTTTCCTGTGACTTTTTTTCCTGTGACTTTTTTTCCTGTGACTTTTTTTCTGTGTTTTTTTTTCCTGTGTTTTTTTTTCCTGTGACTTTTTTTCCTACAATCCTCCAAACTACGGCCCGCTGGCCTCATCCTCAGGTGGCTGAGGAACTTAACCCAGAAAATTCAAAACAATTTGGAAAAGTAGCTTTATGTGCAAAACTTTTGCATCAAAGTAGATCTAGAATTCTACCATTCAATTTTTGGAACAACATACCTGTGTGAAAAAAAATGTTCAGGATTGAAATACGTGAATAATAATTTGAGAACAAACTTGGACCTCAAATGTGTTGTCGTCCCCCGACAGTGTTTCTTCCAGACTTTTTTTCCAGAGGGGTGGTGGTACTTAACATGTGTATATATTTGAGGGGGGGGGGGGTAAACGTTCTTGGGGGGGGGGGAGGTTAGGGGGGGCTTCGCCACCCCGAAGAGATGCCCGGAAGAAACTTTGGCCCCCGAACTGATATTTGATAGTTAATCCGGCCCTCGGGGTGAAAAGTTTGGAGACCCCTGCTTTAGATCTATAACGCAACAGCATTGCAGGAATTGAGAAATACCCCGAACAAAATGCTCCGACTATTTAGTCATAAACAAAAAAGATCCCATCAAAGGACTCGACAATCTGGATAAAAAAGATTTAGACTTCCAGCACACTCCCGGTAGGGGGGGGGGGGACGACACGACAACTATACAACCACACCACCCCCTCAATGTTAAACCTCCCCTAATCCATTGAAAGTGTGGCCGCAGTCACTGATTTCACTTTCATTAAAATGCTTGTTTTTATTGTGAACCAAGCAAAAAAGAAACAGGACGGAACAAGTGAACCTATAAATACCAGTTGTGGCGTAGACTGAGGTTAGGAGGAAAGGGGTTAGAACGCCCATAGAGGCGGAAGTAGCGTAGGATGCTAGCCTGGGAAAATTTTAAAGATAGTGTCGCCTTTTCGGCGTTTATTGAATAGAATTTTAAACAAGTTCCACTACAACAACAAAAAAAACCCGTACCTTACCGAATCTACACATTTTAAAATTCAACAATTAGAATTTCATCGTCAATTTTGTGTTATATAAATATTTATTTTTGGGTGATTGTTTATGTAAAATGAGCCTCATAGAACATCATTTCGCTTTTTTCTGATGTTTCACTGTTCAGTACGAACATAAAGTTGCCAGGTCCTTGCAGGTCAGGAGATCTAAAAAAATATTTCAGAGGAAAACCACCATCATACCATCTCAAAGTGCTGGACATATGGAGGTCGGCGTGGTCGGGTCGGTTAAGCTCATGGTTGCTGAACTTCGGGCAGATGAGATTCGATACAGCAAATCTTCTATGAGAGACAACGCCAAAAGCAAATTACTGTTGCCTTGGTCCCTTTATTCTGCATCACTTGTTAGGATCTTTCCTTCTTTATCCTTCAGTTTTTTTCTCTGGGATTTTCTTACATGATAGGTTCTGGTTATTCCATAGAATCTCTTCATGTTCCCCGCCCTGCCTCAGTTTCTGCCTCCACTTTCAAAAGTGTTATCTCTTGCATGAACTGTCTTTTGATTTATTTTCCACCTCCCTGACCATGTGATTTACGGTCCAATATCGTGTTCTGAGGCAGTGGCGTAGCGAGGTCGGGTGTCACCCGGTGCGGCACTTAATGTTGCACTATTGAATTAAACACTGTCAAAGTTAAGAAAATAGACTACCACTGGGCTTAACTAATTGTTTTAACTGTTGCACACATCAATTGTGGCACTTAAGGGGGGGGGGGGCAACATTATCGTTTATAGTTCGCCCCGTAATGGGCCGCTACACCTCTGCTTTATACATGTTGCATTAAACTTGAATGCGGTTTACCAGCTCTCTTCCTTGATGCTTTCAATGGAAACCTACCGCTGTCGTGTAGTAGTTGGAACCTACAACAGTCGTGTAGTAGTTGGAAACCTACAGCAGTCGTTTTCTCAAATGCAAATGGCCGTGTGCAAGTTCGGTCATATCTTTAAAATGTTGACCCCCAGAACTGTACAAGAATCAGGCTAAAGGCTGTAGCACTTCCTTCCCCAAACCCTGTCACATTGCCCCCCCCCCCCCCCAATCCTCTATAAATGGGTACAGGGTGAAATTGTTGTGATACAACTGTGGTGATATTGTTGTAGTCATGATGTTATAGTGGTATCATGGTGATATTGTTGTGGTCATGATGTTATAGTGGTATCATGGTGATATTGTTGTGGTCATGATGTTATAGTGGTATCATGGTGATATTGTTGTGGTCATGATGTTATAGTGGTATCATGGTGATATTGTTGTGGTCATGATGTTATAGTGGTATCATGGTGATATTGTTGTGGTCATGTTGTTATAGTGGTATCATGGTGATATTGTTGTAGTCATGATGTTATAGTGGTATCATGGTGATATTGTTGTGGTCATGATGTTATAGTGGTATCATGGTGATATTGTTGTGGTCATGATGTTATAGTGGTATCATGGTGATATTGTTGTGGTCATGATGTTATAATGGTATCATGGTGATATTGTTGTGGTCATGTTGTTATAGTGGTATCATGGTGATATTGTTGTAGTCATGATGTTATAGTGGTATCATGGTGATATTGTTGTGGTCATGATGTTATAGTGGTATCATGGTGATATTGTTGTGGTCATGTTGTTATAGTGGTATCATGGTGATATTGTTGTAGTCATGATGTTATAGTGGTATCATGGTGATATTGTTGTGGTCATGTTGTTATAGTGGTATCATGGTGATATTGTTGTAGTCATGATGTTATAGTGGTATCATGGTGATATTGTTGTGGTCATGATGTTATAGTGGTATCATGGTGATATTGTTGTGGTCATGTTATAGTGGTATCATGGTGATATTGTTGTGGTCATG